ATTAGTTTCAATAACAGTTTTCCTATCCAAAGGCATCTTTAACATTTTAATCTATTTTACAAGTCAATTTTTCCTATATCTTCAAAATCATCCAAGTGAAAAATATTATTTCAAAAAAGTTTTAAAATTCAAAATATTAGTTATGTGCAAAATACGTATGATCAGAATTGTAACTTCAAATTATTTCCGTGTCCTCAATTTTCCAAAATGTAAACGGAAAAAATAAGCATGTATATTTTCCCTACCTGTTATCTGGCTTGGATGTATCTCTTTTAAAAGTATAAAATTAATACAGCATTATGTGAGGTGGATATACACATCAGGTGCTTCTGTGTTCACTTTATGCGTGCAGTTTCTTGTCATTAAGCCAATACTGTATTATATGCATGCTCATAGCTTACTTGTGCACTTGGCATTATGTCATTGTAAGAAATACGTTTTACGTAATTGAGAGTTGATACCTTGCACGAAATATTGCCACTGGTGTGTGGTACAGAAATCATTAATTACAAACACGAACGATTTATCGTGTTAAAAAATGATAGAACCATATAAATGACACAGAGAACCTATTTCGCCATTTTACCACATTAATAATTTCATATGTTTCAAATAGCAAATGTATTCAAACGTGTCTAGATGTTTGAATACAGTTGCTATTTGAAACATATGAAATATGGTCAGGCGATGCACCATATGTGTGGAACGTAAGGCGCTAATTAAGTTGACAAATTGTCAACTTTGTATACAGTGAGCAATATTGTAGAGTACATTATTATAAGTTCAATAACAAAAACTACATAATTGCTTTTTTCTATCATATAAAGAGAACGCAATTTTTTGCTTGAGAGTAATTAAATAATATTCAGTCTTCTGGTGCTATATTCATTAAAAATTGCATGAATCATGGCTCAGCCATGCTCAGTGATTGTTATAAGGAGAATTCGCCAATTTTTAAAACGTAGAATGTTATGAATTATTTTCTTTCTTGTTGCCCACCTTTTGCTCCAAAGATCCTTAAAATCTTACATTAAAAAACCGAAATTTCCCTAACCTTTTAGCTGGCTCGGATAACTTTTCAAAGTGTAAAATTATTGCTTTTTTACGTTAAGCAGTATTATGTGTTGCAGATATATACACCAGACTTATTTATTTAATGCACTCTACTCGTCAGGAGCTTGTCGTTATAGGCCTGTACTTTACTTAAACATGCTGTCAGCTTACTTATGCACTTGGCATGATGTCGCGTAATAGGAAATATGGTCGGGCATTGCGCCATATTTTCTACAGAAATCATTCATGACAACACGTAAAAAATCTGTCTATGCGAATTGTTTTAGAAAACAAAATGTTAATTTTCGTGATGACATTGGCATGATGTCGTAGCGGTAAATATAGGCGGGCGTTATACCATGCACCAAATATTGCTACAGGTGCATGTATGCTACAGAAGTCATTCATCACAAACACGACCGATCTGTCCATTCGAATTTTTAAAAAATATATAAGATGTGATTTTTGGTTAGGAGTATTTTTTAACTTTACTGAATTTTATTAAACTTGTTAAAATTTTCCACTGTTTTTTAACCCAAAATCCTAATAACCTTCGATTAAAAATGCAGAAATTCTCCTACCTTTTCTCCTATATTTCCTTTGAAAGTAGAATATTATGTACGGTAGATATCTACACATGATCTAGTTATTTTTGTATTACGTTCATGCAATTTATCCGTGCAATTACTCAAGATTAAGCCAATATACTACTTTAACCAAACCTGCTCTTAAAGCCTAATGCATACTGCAGCACTTTGCACGATGTCGTATTTAGCACTGTGGAGAACGTAGTAGTAATGATGTCACTACATGAAATATTCGCGCTAATTCTGCTAATTGGGGGTAAATACTTCTACTAGACATACATGGATGCAAAATTCCCTAGCTTGAAGCAATTAACACATATTTCAAAATGTAAAATTTTTGTGATTTTTTTTGTGAAATACTCATTTCTGCTTAATGATCTATTGATATATTGTGGAATGCAGTATTATAATTTAAATAACAAAAACTACATAATTGCTTTCTTTTATTATATAATTTCTTGCTTGAGAGGAAATAAATAATATTCAGTCTTTTGGGGATATATTCATTAAAAATTGCATGAATCATGACTCAGCCATGCTCAGTGTTTGTTATGAGGAGAATTCACCAATTTTTAAAACGAAGAATGTTATAAATTATTTATTTTCCTGTTTCCCACCTTTTGTTCCAAAGATCCTTAAAATCTTACATTAAAAAACCAAAATTTCCTTTACCTCTCAGCTGGCTTCGACATCTCTGGGAAGTGTAATATTATTGCTTTTTATACATAAGCAATATTATGCGTGGCAGATACATACAGCAGGTTTATTTATTTGATGCACTCTACGCCGTCAGGAACTTGTCGTTATAGGCCTGTACTTTACTTAAACATGCTGTTAGCTTACTAAACACTTGGCATGATGTCTCGTAATAGGAAATGTGGTCGGGCGATGCACCATGTGTGCTACAGAAATCATTCATTGCGAACACGTAAAAAATCTGTCCATGCGAATTGACCACTTGCGCAATAGCTCTTCCCGCTAAGCATGACGGTAGGAGTCTGTAGGTTGCTTTCGAACGAAATGGCTGTCGCACGAACGAGCGATTTCGTTTGGAAGGAAGCAAGGGCGATTTTTGGCTTTATTCGGCATGGATTGATAAAACCTTTGTGTGGAAAATAGCGAGGGTGTTTGGCAGTGCTCATTTAGAAAATTTCAAGAAATTCGGCGCATAAGTAGCGAAGAAATTTTGTTGTGAAGACGACCAGTTGTACGCACGCTTGCACAAAATTCGCTCGTGAAAACCTCATCGCATCAACAAAAACTGGTGAGTTAGCTTTTCTACTTGCGATCAGCTAATATTTTTTTAAGAATAAGCTCAACCGATAGTTATTCTCATTGGATTTCAAGTTTATTTTGCTCCTATAGCTTCAAAAGTGCCATATTTTACTTCATGAAAATGGCGTACGTTAGCCAAAATTTTTGTTCGATTGTGTCATTGCCAGCCATAGCCATGAAAAAATGTTTTGAAGTAGTTTTGGCGCGAAAAGATCTGAATTTAAATTAGTTGCTTGTAAACAAAAGACGAAAATATAAAGTTAAAAGTGTTTTCTGTGGTTTTCTGCTGTCGTTTGTCCTCGAGTTGAAGTTTGCTTTTGTTCTTATCCTCCATTCTAGTTCAATAAATACTCGTGAGTTATAAAATAATATTTTAATAATAAATTAGGTAAATTTAGGGGTTTTTAAAATAGCGAAGTCTCGTATTTAAATTTTTAGATAGCACATAAATATTAGATAGAATTATTTTGATTTAAAAACTAATAGGTAAATATAAATTGAAGTAGGACAATATAATAATAATTTAAATAGTATAATGGAGGGTGAAGCAAGCACTTCACATGAGGCAAACAATGCTGCTACAGAATTGAAAAGGTGGACAAGGGACTTACATGGCCTCCCAGCATTTAGTTATGAGTTACTTATTAAGCATTGTGGAATTGAACATTCTGGTGCTGGTGCTCAAAAACACAAGAAACTAGGTTATCAATTGTTTAAAGATAAATATGTTGGCCAAGTTCAGGTTAAAAAAAATGTCACGAAAGGCAACATGGTGTGTTTCCTAGTTAAAGGCTGTGTAAATGCTGCTATGAAAAACAATGTATACACTGTATATGTTCACCTAAATGAAGCTAATGGGGAGGTTGTGCACACTAACTGTACTTGTACAGCAGGAAAAGGTGGGCAGTGCAAACATGTTGTTGCTCTGCTATTTCAAATAATCGAGTATAAACAATTAGACATGACAGAAATCCCTGATACACCCACTTGTACAGAATTACTACAGCAATGGCATGTACCAAGGAAAGATGAATCTGATAAGCCTGTTCTTTATGAGAACATTCCATTCAAAAAGGCCACATATGAAAAAGACATTGGTAAAAAGAGGAAAAATAATCAGCAAGCCCCAATTGTACATAACCCTATTCCACAATTTGCACAGAATGTTACAAAACCTGAAGTACAAAAGTTGGCTAATTCTTTAATAGATATTAATGAAAAAAGCTATTTGGGGAATTTGTTAATGTCGAATGACTGTGAGCCATACCCTTTCCAAAGCATACATGTAGATATACCATCTAAAAAGAGACACACTGAGTCAATGCAACTTGAGATTAATTACCCTAATGTTCGTGACAAAATTTTAAAAAACCTACAACCGACAACAAATGAGGAAACTGTTAATTGGCAATATGAAAACATAAAAATTTTACATTCATCTGTCAAAATATCATATGAAGAAATACTTGAGATTGAACGAAACACTAGGGAACAATCATCAGAAGATCGGTGGTTTGAGGAACGCGGAAAACGATTAACCTCTTCAAATTTTGGCCCAGTAGTTAAGCGAAGGCAGCAAAGGTACCCAAAAACAATCATGTCAAACATAAAATCTAGGCGGTCTAAGTGTCCAAAGCAGTGCCAATGGGGGAAAGACAAGGAGTGTGAGGCTATCAGGGAATATGCGAAAACTAAAAAAAAGCAAGGAAACATTGATGTGTGTGCACATTGTGGTTTTGTCGTAAATTCACAATTTCCATGGTTGGGTGCCAGTCCTGATTTTTTAGTTTGCGATGGTGCAGAAACTAACTCATTTGGTATTGGGGAGGTGAAATGCCCTTTCTCCAAAAGGGATATGAGTGTTGATGAAGCATGCAAAGACAAAAACTTTTGTTTACAAAAACTTGATGGGAAAATCCAGTTAAAAAAATCGCACAATTATTTTTACCAAATTCAAGGGTGTATGGCTGTGCTAAAAGTTAGTTGGTGTGATTTTGTTGTTTTTACAAATGTTGACCTATACATTGAAAGGGTATATTTTGACAATGATTTTTGGTGTAAAATTGTTCCAGAACTAAGCAATTTCTATGCTGAATATATGTTACCAGAATTGTAATAAACAGCATTATATAATTTGTGCATTAGGCTCATAATAGAACTAACTTAACAGTTTAAGATTGCTTATCTTTAATTATTGACGGTAAAAACAATGTTAAATAGGAGCAAACACTCCAAATTTGTTCCAAGTTTTCAGCCAATGTCAATGGAATAACTTGGTGCAAGATTCGATAATTTTTAACTCTGGCTATTGCACGCTCAACATGAACTCTGACCGATGCAATTTTGCGTGTTTTAACTTCGTCTTCTGCCGATAATTGAGGCTGTCCGTTAAGAAAAGGTGGAATATTTAACAAAACTCCGCTTGGAAGATCAGTCTCAATATCAAACCCCCTATCTGCCATTATTTCATCTCCAGGCTCAACAAGACTTAGAATGCCACAGTCATTGGTAATTTTTTTGTCACTTGTGCGCCCAGCATACAAACAAGAAACAAAACTTGGGTATCCACTCGGTGAAATACCAATCAGGCCTTTTGCAGTGTTGTGGTGCTTGTAGCTAGAGAATGTGACTGATTGACTCCTGCATGACGAAGGCATTTCAATAAATATTTCTGTGCAATCAATGATCACTCTGGTTTTTGGATAGGCTTGTTGAAAGCAGGGGGGCATGTTTTCGTCAATAAATTTGCGACTGGGCCAAATTGGTAGGGAACGAAGGCGGTGGTGTAAAAAAATTATCCAGGTTTTAAAAATGCGAGACACATGGCTAGCTGATATATTAAACCGGTGTGCAATATCTTGTAGAAGTAACCCCAAACGTAACCTTACAAGAACAAGAAATAATTCTTGTTCTGGTGACAAGGATCTTGGTTTGCCACATTTGCTTTGAGACTCTGAAGTTACAGGGGTACTGTGTGTGCCAAAGTACATAAGGTGTTCACAAGCGGGTGAGAGGTAATCATAAAACGCTTTAAAACACGAGTAATTGGGAAAGCCAGTGTAGAACCTGAAGTCACTGTCACTGCCTATAAATCTTTCAATGCGAAATAAACCACATTTCAAATTTTCAATGTCTTTGTCGAATTTTGCTTGCATAGTTGTTTTCTGAGCCTCAAGCAGAGTTATTTTATCATGTAGTTGATTTATAGTGCCTTGAATGGCCTCAGTGTTATTATCATTGTGATCTATTTCTGGTATTTCCTCAATGGTTGAGGTTTCAATAATAGGTGGAACAACTGGTACTCTCATAGCTGGGCTCTTTCTTGGTTTACTTGTTGTGTGTGTAGTAAATACTGTTGGAATAGTGTTGCTGTAAGACTTTTTGCCGCCCACAAAATGCATTGAACATACACGGTGACTATGACCAGGATCCCTAACACCTTTCCTTTTCAACAATTGTACCCATTTTTTCTTTAGTTCAGGATTTTTTGGTATTTTGTGAAATGATAACTCTGGATTTTGTCTGTTATTACTTTGACATTGTGGTATACAACAATAAGTTTTCCATATTCGAGTGCCTCCAGTAGTTTCAGCATTGTTTGCCTCATGTGAAGTGCTTGCTTCACCCTCCATTATACTATTTAAATTATTATTATATTGTCCTACTTCAATTTATATCTACCTATTAGTTTTTAAATCAAAATAATTCTATCTAATATTTATGTGCTATCTAAAAATTTAAATACGAGACTTCGCTATTTTAAAAACCCCTAAATTTACCTAATTTATTATTAAAATGTTATTTTATAACTCACGAGTATTTATTGAACTAGAATGGAGGATAAGAACCAAAGCAAACTTCAACTCGAGGACAAACGACAGCAGAAAACCACAGAAAACACTTTTAACTTTATATTTTCGTCTTTTGTTTACAAGCAACTAATTTAAATTCAGATCTTTTCGCGCCAAAACTACTTCAAAACATTTTTTCATGGCTATGGCTGGCAATGACACAATCGAACAAAAATTTTGGCTAACGTACGCCATTTTCATGAAGTAAAATATGGCACTTTTGAAGCTATAGGAGCAAAATAAACTTGAAATCCAATGAGAATAACTATCGGTTGAGCTTATTCTTAAAAAAAAATTAGCCGATCGCAAGTAGAAAAGCTAACTCACCAGTTTTTGTTGATGCGATGAGGTTTTCACGAGCGAATTTTCTGCAAGCGTGCGTACAACTGGTCGTCTTCACAACAAAATTTCTTCGCTACTTATGCGCCGAATTTCTTGAAATTTTCTAAATGAGCACTGCCAAACACCCTCGCTATTTTCCACACAAAAGTTTTATCAATCCATGCTGAATAAAGCCAAAAATCGCCCTTGCTTCCTTCCAAACGAAATCGCTCGTTCGTGCGACAGCCATTTCGTTCGAAAGCAACCTACAGACTCCTACCGTCATGCTTAGCGGGAAGAGCTATTACGCAAGTGGTCAATTGTTTTAGAAAATAAAATGTGATTTTTCGTGATGAATGTTTTTTAGCTTGACAGATTTTATTGAACTTGTTTAAATTTTTCAATGTTTTGTGACCTTATAAACTAATAAGCTTACCCAAACTTTCCTGACTTATCTCGGATATCCGTTGAAAGTCTAACATTATTTGCGCTAGATATATACACAAGGCCTAGCTATTTATGTGTTTGTGCAAATTATGCGTGCAATTAGTTGTGATTAAGTCAATAGATTACTTTACTTAATCCAGCTCTTAATTCTTAATGCATTCTGGAGCACTTAGCGTCATGTCGTATTTATCACTACGTAGGAAGTCTTGCAGTAATGATACACCTGATTAAATATTCGCAATTAATTCTGCTATTTGGCTGTCAATAGGTCGGCATAGAATTGCCTGCAGTAGCCTTGCATTGACTACATGATCTTAAATTTGATTCAGTAATTGAACTAGCTGTTGCTCACCCAGCCCGCCATTTGTGTTACGTTTTTGCAATAATTCAAGGATTCTGTATTTTACTCTTTAGGTGGATTTCCTTTCGGTCGAGAACGCTAGCTGGTGGATATTTTGTGATCTCTTTCTTTTATACTAGTGTATAGTGAGAAAGGCAAGATATCTTTATATCTACCTGTAAAATGAAGTGAACGTGGAAAACAGATCACGAAGTTTCATTGTCTCTTTAATTTTCTGAGCTCATGAAAATTTCGTCTTAAATTGGACATGGCGAGAAATTGTGGACACGCATGCGTGTTAATCGTGTGGACTTTAAATTTTCTTTGTAAACAAAATGGCGACGCGTTATTATAGAATTGTATTGGAGTTAGGAATAAAATTGTGTTTAACGTAAACCTTTAAGGGAAGCGTAAAATGTCGGACCTAAAATTGGTAGATCATGGTGACAACTTTTATCGACGGAAAATTTGTAATATAACCATATACAAATTTCATTCGGTATCACGACATTTAACTATGAACTAGGGGTGAAATAAAATATATAGCCCAGTACGTAAATACCTCAAAGCGGCCCAAATAAATGCCATTTTCTAACCATTGTGATTGGCGAATACTAAGTGTCGCATCTCCCTTAGCTTGCCAGTACAGTGTGTTTCAATCGGTAAATCTTCCCAAATCTGTACGATTTTTACGTAGTTCGGTATTTTGAACTAACTTTAGTGCAAAATTGGTATATTCCAGCCGTGAAATTTGACCCCCCGAGCAAAAGCGCACTGAAATGGCTAACAGAACAAACTAAATATCGGCCTTTCTTGCTCGAATATGCATCCATTTTGCTTGTTTTTAGTACAAGCTTTGTGACCAAGCCTTGGTCTTTAGGCAAACTTAATATATTCATAAACATTGCCGTCTATGGCTGGAATATTACATAATTATATTGAAACCGGCGAAATTTTGAAATTAATTTCGCGCAATATTCATAACAACAAACGCAGTATATTTTAGCGTCTATAGCAGTTAGGTTAATGTTTTTAAAGCATATAGAAACAAGCTCTTAAATGTCTGACGCAACTATTTCTTTGGCGAATGTTAAACTGCTCATAAATGGAAATGTGCCGTCGAATATGTTGTTCTACGTCAAGCCATATCAGGTGATCATGTTATATACTGTGTGGCTATTCGCAATAGCGTTTTGCTACAATGGCATAACGCATAATCCAAGCAGGAAAATTACATAGATTTCTCAACGAGAGTCGAGATAATTCCCGATGAATCCGTCCGGACTATGCGCGCTGCGCGCATCGTTTAGCTTCCTTTGGAATTTTTTTGCTGATCTTCTGAATACTTTGTGTATGACCCTTGAAAGTCAGACACTTAACTCCTCCCACTTATGTCCACATTTTCTCGCCATGTTATCCGCTTTGTGATGTGTTATGTGAAAATGGTATTGAAATATTGACTGTTACCCCACTTCCTGTTTGACATTGTCTTTGAAAAAACAACTTTTATTTTGTATTATTTTATATTGTTTATAAAAAATATATAGCAAGGAATGAGATATAAATCACACAGGAACTTTTCTGAGCCATTGAACTATTCAGTCACATACGAAAGAGCTTTATTGGAAAGCAGCCTTTAACGACTGAAACATGAACTGCGTTTTTGCATCAAAGAACAAGTATACCAACTTACAAGTCGAATTGAATTTAATTTCAAATCTTAATTTCAAATAACAATAACCATCAGTTATCGTTCCAATGTTTACATATAGTTCACTAAACCAATTAAATCGTAAAAATAATACAGAATTCGAATCTGTACATTCAGACTCGAATAAAGCTACGAACATTAGACAAACCGCATAAGTTATGAGTTAAACAAGATGAATTAGCATGATGAGTATAGCCCTTATATTTGCCTCGTATTGTTGATCAATTTAACCACTTGAATAATCATCTGCCATGGAGATTACTAAAGTAGCGTTACGTGATATTGAAATTACTAATGAAAATACAAACGTTTCACAAAACCTATATGATTAAGTAAAGAAAAATGGAAGTTGTCTTAAAACAATTTTAAACATCATTTTCAATTCCGCGTATGGCATTTACCTCTAGCTCAAACTTTGATCGTACATGATTCATACGACTTTGGGTTTTGGTCGAGGAGACGAGCGTCGAGGCTGAGGCGAGGTTGATAGTCAATGTTTATCGCATTTTTTCGGCGAAGTGCACGTTTAGGATGAAGTCGAGGGTTGATTTTTATCGCTGTTTTATACTAGACGAAGTCGCGCGAATTAGCATACTAACTGTCCACATCATCCCACCAGATAGTTTTTAAAAGGTTGTTTCTAACACCGTGAAGTGAAAAGTCCTAATATTCATCTAGCACTAATTTAATAATATTCAAATCAAAAGTATTTTCAGCTGTCTATTACGCTATATAAACACAGTCTTTGGAGTATAGTCATGAAAACAACACCGGACTGATTTTATTTTACAAACTTTAATGCGTGAAAATTCAACAGCAAATGCCAGTAATGACAAGGCTACTGAACAAATAATTCATTGACATTGTGTTATGATAACACGTTTAATTATAAAGATCGAAATAAAAGCTAATGACACCTGCCCCGTAAAAATTAATCCAATGTTACTTTCATTTATTCAATAATGTAAAATAGGATCAGTCTATTAATGAACATGCAGATGATAAAGTTTTATTGAACCCACAAACTGCATGCAAAATAGAAACGAATTACGTCATGGAACAACCAAATGCTTTTCATACCACGCGAGAAATCGTCAACGAAAACGTTAGACTAGTGATACAGCATTAAAGTTGGTTACAGTCGGTAATGTAAACGAAGCTTTGTTCACATTTTGAATCCATATTATTATCGCCTAAAATATCAAGAAATTTCTTTTAGTTCGCTATACTTTAGATGAATATGGGAGAAAGTATATGTCCCGAGATATACGAAACATGTAAAATTTGAGCAATTTTGAAACAAGTAGACAACCATTGTTATAAGCAGAACCGATGCCAGTGGCTTAACTACTATGGGCTCAGGGTGTGCGAACCCGCGGGCCCCCTGGCTTAAGGGGGCCCCTGTGAGATTAGAAGGTTATTGTAATTCTATGAATAAAACAAGAGAAATCGCACAAACTTACATATAAAAAGGTTCAATTCAAAGGCTAGAGAGCGAAATCGTACCAGAGAACAAGAATATTTGAGGCGAAAAGTACATTATCATCAGTGGCGTAGCCAGCCTGACGATTTTGTCCCGCTATGTAAATTTCGAGTTATTATAATTATTCGTGCCTTTAGAAATCTATTGTTTTCACAGTCAGTGAACACCAAAATATTAGCATAGCGGGACAAATCGACAGGCTGGCTACGCTACTGATTATCATTGATGATTCGTTCCAAATCAATTTCTCATGTGCGCGCGTGTAATTTTGAAATATGTAATTTTAACCTTATCCGTGGAAGCACTGGAATTTTAAACTTAAACAGTGGAAGCACCTACGTATTTAATATGGCGTCACGGTCACAGAGTAAGGATATCCTTACTCTGTGTCACGGTTGGATGAGTAACATTTCAATTTAAATAAAGGATAAAGTCATAAAGGTAAGCCATAAAGACTAAAGTTTAACGAAGACAGATCAATATATAAAATATACATACAATATTTACAGTATTTAATTATTGTTTTCAATAATATTAATTTTGCTTTTAAATACTCTGGAGTTAGAGCCTTAGATGGGGAATTTAAAGGAACTTTCAGGGGCTCAGAAACGCAATAAGAGAAAAATCCAGAGCGAAAAACAAACAGCTATCAATTCAAAGATCCCGAAAATAACCAACTTGTTTCGTGCAGCGGCAGAAACTACCAGTAATGAGTGCGTTGAGCTTGAATCCGAACCATTACCAACTTCTTCGACTTCGAACGAGTCCGAAGAAATTTCTTCAAGAGGATCATCATCATCACCCGTACAACAGGAACAGGGTTGTTATCAATAATTGTTCATTACTGCATTTTTATCATTTTGTCTTTGATACGTTTTTGCATTTTCAAATCGATATATTAAATAAAGTTGAAGTGAATAAGTCATTGAATTAATGATTGAATTATTAAGATCTTTACTTAATTTTGGACAGTACGTACAGTTTTTTTATTTTTTCCACTTTCCAGATAATTTGAAAAGTAGTGAGTCAGCTGAAGCCCCAGTTGATACTGATCGCATTGACCATATGTTGACGGTTTCTTCGAGTAATACTGATAACATATTAGGTACTGTAATGTTTTTCTTTAAATATGAGTTATAGAAAGATAGCTAGACAAAGCCAAACGTAAGCCATTAAGATTACATACTAGTTTCCATCAATCATGATATGTTCATCATAATTTTATTTTCAGATAGAAAATATACAGAACTGAAAGATTTTGATCCTTGTAATACTTACCCATCAGATCGTGGACATTTCAAAAACGAGTTATCTAACAACTTAATTGAAGTTCTAGCTAGGCATGGCAGTTGCCAACCGAGTAAAATGATTAAAATCGAGAGTGGACAGACATTTAATCCTGCACATTATTATTATAGGTGAGTACTTTCGATATGAACACTTTCCTAGTCCCATACACATTGATAACCCAATACGTATTCGCTTGAGGAAATATCTGCGTAAAGATAATCTCTTTCAATGTTTGTGTAGGAATTTGAAATTATTTTCTGTGAAAAGGGACTGGTTTAGCTGCTCAGAGAAACTAGGCACTGTATATTGTCACAATTGCTGGTTGCTGGCACGGAATACTTCAAATAACAAAGATAGTCCATGGATAGATGGCTTTATCCCAAACACAAAGCGCCTGAAGCAAAATTGAAAAGGCATGAAGAAAGCATTGCTCATAAAGAAGCTACGAAGAGTCTTGCTCAGTTAAAGGCAGGCAAAGGTATCAACATGCTAAATGAAGCTGGGATTGCAAAGATCAAGAACTTCTGGCGTGAGGTTTTGCGTAGAATAATAGTGATCATATTGACTTTGGCAAACCTGTGCCTGCCTTTTCGTGGCCACAGAGAGGTTATCGGAAATGGAAGATGTGAAGGAGGCAATTTTCTTGGTTTAGTTAACATGCAGTTGAGAATGGGTGACGGTGATCCGTACTTTAAACAGCTTGTTGGGTCGAAAGCTCGTAAATGTAGATATTTATCACCCACTATCCAAAATGAAATATTGAAATTCTTGCAAATGCCACACGACTAAAGTTCGTTGAAAAAATCAAAGTTGCGCCGTGTTTCACCTTAATTTTTGACACAACAAGCGACATTGCAGAGTGGACCAAATCTCGATTGTTGTAAGGTGGGTAGATATGGAAGCTGCAACAGTTGTTGAGACATTTTTGGGATTTATTCCGGCCAAACAAGGAGGAACTGCTAAAGCGTTAACAGATACTGTCCTTGACTATTTACGACGTATTGGTTGGATCCCAAACAAATAAGAGGACAGGGTTATGACGGAGCGAGTGTGATGAGCGGGAGCAAGGGAAGTGTCAACGTACTGATCTCAAATTACCTTAAAGTGAAGGAATAACATCACCCGCGCCGTTTGTGCACTGTGCTAGCCACAACCTAAACCTTGTTGTGAATGATGCTGTTGAATGCAATGCTGACAGCATCAACTTTTTTGCTGATCTTGAAGAGATATATGCTTTCTTTAACAGAAGCATCAATCGAACGGCAGATCTAAACAGCACTGATCTCAGCGTGATCGACGAATTCACAAATGAAGTTTCCTTTGACAGTGATACGGACTCTGACGACACTGCCATTAATGTGGGTTCAACCACACAGGCCAAAAAAAAGAAACAGAGGAAAGTTAAAATAAGTTGACATTAAAGAAACTGTGTGCTACCAGATGGTCATCAAGAATTAACTCAGTAAGAGCAGTGAAGAATCGATATCGTGATTTACTTCATGTGTTGGACAACTTGAAAAGGAAAGGAAAAGATAATGTCAAGGAACGAGAGGAAGCTGCCAGTTTGCATCTCAAATTAAATAAATTTGAATTTGTTGTTATGCTTATTATATGGGAGAAGTTACTCGCAGCAATTCAGATCGCTTCAGCTAACTTACAGTCAAACAAAATAGACTTGAGTAGGTCAGCCAAAGAACTTGAAAGAGCCATGCGTAAAATAAGTGGCATGCGAGACAAATGGGATGCGATCAAAATGGAAGCTGTAAAGTTCGCGTTGAAAGTAGGCGTCTCTTGCACTTTTGCATTTAAGCGGGTACGCCGAGTTCCTCGATTCTATGACGAATTTGCCTCGGACAGTAGACCACAGGATCCTGAAGAAAGATTTACTGTAGAGATGTTCTACCAAGTGATTGACACCGCTACCAATCAATTAGAAGAACGCTTCAGGAGCCAGAAATTTCTTGCTGATACCTTCAAATTTGTACTCCCTGGAAGCCTTGCAACTCTTGACATTACAGAAGTTCGCAAGTCTGCCGAATTGTTTGTTAATGAATACAAGGGAGACATATGCACAGATGGGGTTGAAGTGGCAGATTACATATCTGATCTTGTGAATGAAATCAAGTCGTTTCGCTGGTGTTACGGGGATGTACTGAAGGGCATGTCGACTGTTTCAGAAGTGCTATGCCTGTTGAAAGATGTGGGGCTCAGTACTTACTCAAAGCTATTATTAGCGGTTGTCATATTCATCACTCTTCCGGTGACAATTGCGAGTGCAGAACGCTCATTTTCAAAGTGGAAACTTATAAAGAATTACCTTCGCTCAAGCATTGCACAAGATCGCCTGGACTCACTGGCAATTCTTTCAATTGAGAACAATGAAGCGTGGTTGTTAGACATTGAAAAGCTTATTGACACGTTTGCAGACAAAAAAGCAAGGATTGGAAAGTTTGTAGTTTAATTACATGCACTTTTCGTCTTCAGGGCTCAGTTTCCTTTTCCTATTTATAAATTAACTGTTACGTTAAGAAACTGTTGAACAAATTTTTTGCATTTTGGTTACATAGCAACAACCTAAAACTGCGAATTTGGAAATTCTATATTTCTGTAATTTCTATTTGATTAAAGAAACGTTTTAATGTCGCGACTGATGCGTTCTTTTTAACAACTGATATTTTAATTACAGTAATTAATATTTAAATCATTATTTTAGGTTTTAGAATAATGTTTTAGATGTTAGTATGGTTATGTAAGGGGGCCCCTTTTAAATTTTTACCACGGGCCCCTAGTTGTGCTGTTACGCCACTGACCGATGCTGTAGCACAGAAGAGACTGTAAACCCTTTAAAGGGTGCAGAGACTCTGGCGAGTGAAAACAACGCAACGATTATCCCAAAAATTAATATTCACGGTTAGCTTTTAGTTCCCTAGAAATTTTTGGGAGCCTCATATCACAATTTTGCCCCAAAAGAACTTCCCCCCTTAAAATATAGCGTTAGTTGAAATTTGAATCGCCGACTTCGGCGGCATAATAGTATATACCAGTGCTACATAATAGTATTCTAAAAATGAATGTTTATGAGTGCAATGATAAGAATATTTTTATGAGGTGAAGGATGCAATAATTCGAAGAAGCAAAGGTGAGATTTTTTCCATTGCACAAAGGAAAACGTTCATTTTTTGTTTATTTAATTATGCGTGTTTAAAAAAACCAAGTAAAATAGGTGTTATTTAATACATAATAATTATCAGATTATAATTGGTCTTGAACGTAAAACTTTTACTGTTTTGTATTTTATATTACTATGCAACAAATTGCAACAGTCCTTACAAGTGTATCATTTTGGATTTCAATACTACCAATCGTGCTTTAGAAAGTTCGTTGATCCGAGCTTTTGCGTCGCTTTTTTACTATATCGTAATTATTATAAATCGACAATCTATCAATGAATACACATTTGCGTTGTTAATTTAATGCATGAAATTAAAAGAGGTGCACATATCAAAACGTCCGGTTGCCCACTGGATCAGTCGGTAGATCACCAATAAATTCCACTAGTTTTTCTCCGGTCACATTATTCACGCTGCAAACGTTTAAATTGCGCTTAAGTTTTGATTTCAAGGCCAGGTGATTGGCTGTTTTTGTGCGTCGCTGTTCTTTGTCCAAATCACATCAAAAAGAAACGGTATTGATGTAGCAACCACTGTGGTGAAGATCTTAGCATTACTCGACACGCCAGAGCCTCGAGATATAGCGCCAGGAAAAGAAACGGCAAATAAGCGAATAATACAATCAAGAATACCTTATCGAAAAAAGGTAACAAAATTTCATCGTATGGAAGAAGCGTCTCTCGGACAATATCGTATAGCGGCTTGGGAATGACAGGCTCGCCATTTTTATTCAACTCAATCACGAAACTGTGGGTAACGTCCGACGACGTAACTGAACGAAAACTGTCGCAGCTCTCACTGTCGCTGAAATGTATTTCAGGGCGGGTACATTCACAACCATGCAGAATGGAATTTTTCTTGCTAAATTTGTAAATACTTGTATTTAATTCAAGATATTTCGCTTCAACAGAAGACCTCCAATTGCTCCAGGAATAAACTAAGACGAGGGAGAGGGGGACAAAATATGTACTGTAATGTCCTGCGTTTAGATATAATATAAACCAGCGATGAAGTAGAACAAGAGAATTAAACATTTCATAAAAGAAACGAGTATTAGCAGGAAAGTCAAAATTGAGCCGAACAATTGCGCGTAAAATTGTACGATAGTAAATTTTGACTTGTTTCTGTCTTTCTTTTCGTTACGACGCCTCGAAAAAGATGGATTGCCAAAAATTTGATGTCGATAATTGTTGTGCAACCTTAGCGCTTGGGATGAGGTTGTGGCCTTATGTTGTGAAGATGGTGAATTATACTGCTTAAACCAAATTTTAACGAGGATAAAACCTCCAACAACGTACAATTCAAACGGTAAAACAAAAATCAGATATAGGATTAGTAAAATCACAATTGATAAACAATATTTGAACACATCGATACGACTGACATCCTGTTTTCCATCGCTTCTTGCTTCGTCTTGGGATTCCACTTCACGCGATAATAATCTAGTGCGCTCGGTAACTTGAGCATTGGTCGCCGATTGTTCATTCGTTGAAGTAATTTCAAGGCTTAGCTTGAAGTGTCGACGGAGAAATGGATTCCTCCTCGCTTCTTTACGCCAAAATTTTACATTGAAAGGTAAAGCAATGATCCTTTTAAAACTTTCCATTACAAGGAAACTCGTCTTGGGATTACGGTGATCAAATTGAATCCTAGCGTCTTGTTTATTGATGTTGTATATATCAAAAAACAGAAAAAGTAACACCCAAGACGAACAGATTACCAGCACCAAGAAAAGCAAGAAGTAAGTAATTGCATTTAAAGGGTAATTTGGATCCCATTTAGGGAACAATGTTAGAAGAGTTAACACCGAGATTAATAGTTTTCTTCCAAGAGACTTCACTGGGCCATAGCCATCAATAAGTATTGTGTGAAAAATCGATGAAAGTGACATTGGGCTGTCAGAAATTTTGTATGTCGTGCATTCTTTGGGGAAGGAGCCTAAATACATGATCATTTCAGGAAAAGCAATCAAAATGAAAGCAATGAGGGCCACACCAAACATACCGCAGTTATTGATGAAAAGTCCGAATAGATGATTACGCGATCCAGTAACCTGCAACAACCATAGTACGCCGTTTTCTTGTTCCAGAGGCACAATTTGTAATCAAAATTATCTTCATTGACGCGGTCATGGGGGTACAGTTGGTGGGATAGAAAACTGAAAACAAAGTCAGAGGCATTCTTTCCTGAAAGCAATAGGCATCCTTCGGTCATTTCGGTGACAACAATATCCAGGGTTTCGACACCAGCATTTAATGTACTTGTATAGGAGGATAAAAGCATGGATGGAAGATCTGCGGCTTCTGTGATTAATGAAATTAACGTACGACCAATTTCGTTTGCCCAAGTTAGCCGTGGTAGCACATAAGTTAACTTCGCCTCATTATTAAACGTTTCGATCCAAACATTAAATCTAATCGCATTCTTACCGCGATGATCCAATTGCAGGACTTCCTTTAAGGATGCCGCTACGTAGTTTCGATAATCGATCTGCCGACGGCAGTTTGTCAATGAATTGTTTGCTGGATTTCCAATAACTATCGATTCAACTTTATCACTTTTGGAAAATTTTGGAAATTTCAGTTGTTTGGAATGGCTTTGGACAACTCGCTGAACGCAATCAGCATCAGCACGAATATTTTGGCAGTCATTTTTTAACTCCCCAATATCATTCTAAAATAGCATCGTTAATTACTGACGTTGTAAGTTGGGAAAGTGTATAAATATTTAGTGAAAAGACTTTCTGGTAACTATATTTTACTTCTTACTTTCTGGTAACTATGTCTTACTTCTTACTTTCTGGTAACTATATCTTACTTCTTACTTTCTGGTAGCTATAGGGTTGTTAAAATTAAAAGTGATTAATTAGCTGTAAAGATACCATCGCGGGTAATCTAGGGCTATACCTAGGCCTGTACATAGGTGGGAGGGGGGATAAAATTATCCAAACGTTATTTAGTTTTTTAAAACATAATTTTATCTTCAAAAATTGCAAAAAAAAATGAAAGTGCCGAACATCATTGCATTATGCATCGCATCAAACGACGTTCGGTTAGTGCATGAACTACGACCGAACTCGGTTTGCCTCGCTTCTCCCCCCCCCCCCGTTTTCTCTCACCATTTCCCGCCAATATGAGCTAAATATGGCTGACGCACCTCGTCGCCAGGCCTCCACCAAACGCTCACTCTTTTATAAAGGACAAAGTAGACTTAGAAAATAAACCATACCCTCAAATAACCAAAACTAACCTGAATTGTCAGTGGTTAAATCTCGGAGTTTGCAAATATCAAAAGATAAAAAAGGGTAAAAAATTTGTACAAAATAGTACCGGGGCGTACAACCTAGACGTACCAAATAGGACACTAACTACTCGGCCACTCGATAACGTGTACGCAGCTGAAAAACCCGCTAATTTAACGTGGAATATATACAATGGCCAAAGATAGGAAAAGCGTACGAGTTGAAGCAGTGATAACGAGGTGCTCTTATATCTGAAAAAGCCTTGACCTTTAACAAGAGTTAAAAAAATAGGCTAATGGAATTATTATCTTAATATTGACGTTTTCAAACCCTTGCTGATCACTGTGTGGATGCAAATAAATAAAAAGCTGAAGGAGAAATCCCACCATTGGTCCAAACGAATCCTACTACGATGAACTGGATTGCAACCAAATAATTGCAACCAATCCAAAACAGCCAAAATCCCAAAGAAGAACCAAATCGATGAGGAAAAGCAGTCCTGTATATGAACTGTGTCCTATCCTAATTAAACGTCTTTTCTTTGTAGGTTGTCATAAGCAAGCCTCGTCCCTGGCGCGTGTATTTATTAAAAACAGGTGGAAAACTCTTACATAATGCACTATTGATTTAAATACGAGACGAAGAGCCATATGTTCGGTTTCAGAATTGCTGTCATACTAAGAATTTGTGGGTTAGTTTTCATCTCAAGAATACTCCAGCCGGGTGAATGCTCAATCGCCCTGCCCTTATTTCGCAAAATTGATGGCAAATAATAAAAATAATAATAATAACAATAATGATGAAAAAATTACAAAGATAAACAAAATCAATGAGGAAATGCAGTCCTGTATATGAACTGTGTAGCATCCTAGTTAAAGGTCTTTTCTCTGTAGGTGGACCCAAGCCAGCCTCGTCCCCGGCGCGTGTTTTTGTTTTATATTAATTACGTAATTTTTATCTCGCGGCAGATCACGCGTGAAGCAACAGCGAGGCGGAAAATGCGCCTGGTGAGGCGGAAATGCGCCTGGCAGAAAATGTTTCAAAAGGTAG